CATTATGGCCAGAGGAGTTGTTAGTGTCACATTCTTAAGATAATACATTTTTATTCAGTGAGTAAGCTGCTATAGGGTTTTCTCCTTAAGATCTATAAGAAAATATATGTTTTTGGTCTTACAGTTTTTCCCCCTTGTCACTAAAACAATAAAATATTTTTTAAATGTCATCCAAATTTGTTTTGAGTACCTTTAAAATGTTCCAAAACCTTGCATTGGCACTGCAAGGGAGTTGCACTGCAGATTGACAACCAGACCATGATTTATTATGGGGCTTGCTTTTACCATTATTTTGTCTGGAATGAACAGAGTGGTTAGAGAAACTCCATCCATCTTTTTGTTTATTTGACATCTATGCCACATTTAATGTATGTTAAAGAAACAATCCATGAGTAAGGAATTCTATTTAACAATGATGATTATTATCTGTCAGATAAGTCTCTTGACAATCATATAGAAGGAAATACTGTCAAGAAATGTGTGCTAAGATTTAAATAAGCTATTTTAATATGAATAAGATTCTGAATGAAATTTCATTTTCTTTCCAAGAAATAGCATTACAGAGTGTGCTTAAGTTATTTTTCATTTCAACAAAATTAGCACTGTCTCTCGATTTTACTTGTAACTCAATCACTGATTACAAAGTGGTTACTAAAAACAGTGTGTCGTTTGTTGTTAATGTTTGTCAAAAATTTAAAATTCATAGCAGTAGTAGATAAGATTTTTCTAAATGTGCTTTGTTATGGTTTTGTGTTTTCTTTAAAGCTTCACTTTAAATTTTGTACCTTCCTGTGATTTGTGAGAGAGTGCAGTCCTTTAGGGAGGAGGGACACCATGGCTGTCTGGGACATGCAACAGGTGCCTCTTAGCCAAGCCTTCATTTACTAAGGTAGTTTCAAATCAATCTGGAAGTGTTGAGTGATTTCTTTAAGTCTCAAAATTACTAAGTAACAGTTAAGAGGAGATGGTTGGCCTGGGTTTCTTTTTAGCATTCAGTGACTATCCTGTCTGATACTAGATTTTTCCCACTATGTGACTTGCTTTAGATATGATGACCCATGAAACCGTTGGCTTTGTTGTGTTAGCATTATATTGCATCCAAGCAACCAATGTTTCACATAAATACTTGCACATATTCTACTCTATTGAAATCTTGATTCTCACCAATCATGGATAAAGTTTGAGATTGGTCCAGTGGATTATAGTTTTATCATAGATTTCTTAAAATATTAATCTTAGTGGCTACTGGATGAATAGCTATATCATAAGAATGTATGGAAAACTTTATAAAGCCTCTGCAAATTATAGAGATCAATAACATTTCTTTTAATCAGATTCTGCTCTGGATGTCAGTCATTTTCTCCTGAGGAAATACAGTATGGAAGGACGGAGGTAATAGCTCATGGCTCAGAGTCACAGAGGAACAATTTGCCCAAGTGGTTACTAACATACACTACATTCAAACAACCGAGCGTAGGTACAAGACCAATTTTTTAAAATGGGAATAATGTTTTTATGCAGCTCATAAATAAGTGAAAGTTTGCTGAGTTTGAGCTGGGTTTAACTTCTGAAAATGATACTATGAATAGAAAAGAGTTACAAGGATTGCTGTATATCAGATTAAGGTTTGTGGGATATGATATGTCTTAACACAAAGGACTGGAAAGTTTAAATCGACCCAAGCATATATAATCGACTTTTCAACAGAGTATATTTGTGTCTCCTTATTTGTATCCTACTTGTTTGGATTAGATTTTCCTGTTTCTCTAAGACCACTTTGAATCCGTTCTAATGTATGCTTACTGAGTTTGGATTAGAAAGTGAATTTAGAGTTCCTTTTGAAACTATTTGGCTCTGTTTTATAGTGTAAAACTTTAATGTGTAAAGTGAGGTCCAATAACTTACCTTGGGCTACTAACTTACTAAGAGCATGCCTCCCATTAAGAGGTGTCCATTTATGGGAGTGGCAATTCGAATCATAATGGAACCTTTCAAAAGAAACACTTGTTTGGGTTATTGTGAAGTGTCTGTGCCTTCCTAAGAAGGTAGTTTAAATAATAGGCTCAGTGTGCATTTTGGAAGATATATGAGGAACATTCTTGTTGGTGGTGGTATGTGTGTGTGCCTGTGCATGTCTGTGCATGTATGTGCCCATGCTGTAAATACACTAAGCAAGGTTTCTACCATTGCAGTGCATTCTCAGCCCAGAAGCACCCCTTTGACCTACTTATTCAATAGTACAGGTTTGTATTTGAGACTTTCATATGTGCATTCATGCAGAGCTGTCAGATGACTAGCCAAGGTTCTCCAGTACTTTTTCTTTTATTTATGATCACTTAGAAGCTATGCTTTCTACTGTCTTGTAGTGACTTCCTTTGGGTACTTTGGTTTGTTTGTTTTATATTTATTTATTTTTATTAAAAATATTTTTTTTTTTACAATTCACTCACAGCCTCTCCCCCATACACACATACATACACACCAGTCCTTTCTGGTCCTTCCCACCTATGACCCAGCTCACCCAACTCAGTTCCCTTTCTTTTTATCTTGTTAGAAAACAGATAGTTGTGTGCACACTCACATGCGCGCATGCACACACACACACACACACACACACACACACAGAACAACAAAAACCATAATGAAAAAAAGAAAGAAAAAAATAGAAGAAACACACACATACACATGCACTCACACTCACACAATGACTCAGTCTAAAGTGGGAAAATTGTTGGAAAGTAAGCAGTATTGCCCTGCACCCTTACACTAAAGTCTCCAGCTCTGTATTCAATTTTGACACAACAGGAGTGCTTTGTTTGTTGCTTGAATGAGGACTCTGGTGATAGAGACTCATGCCAGGACATCTTTTAACCCAGTATTCATACCATTCTACCTGTCAAACCTTCAAAGATCCAAAAATTAGTAAAACCACTTATTCCTGATTCCTGATTCCTGATTCCTGATTCCTGATTCCTGTCAAGCATAGAATGGTCAATTTTTTTAGCTCAAGTTTGTGGCTTTTTTTGGTTTGTACTTTCTCAAATTTTCTCCCAATCTGTATACCTACTTGTTAACTCATTAATTTTGGTAGCCAGGACCTCACAATTTTTCCCAAGACAAGTGTGTTATTACAAGGTCTGATAGCAATCTCTACAGGGATAAAAACTCTAAAAAATTCATAGTTGTTTCTTAGGGACAACAAGACTCATTTATGTCATTGTTTCATATATATGTATATATGAAAATATATACATATATGTGTATATGTATGCATGTATATAGATTTACATATATTTATATCGTAAATATATTACGTATATTTATATATTATATGTGTTATATGTATTATATATTTATATGCATCTATATATTTATATATATTCATATTTACATATATAAATATGTTTATACTAGAGAGAGAATAAGAGAACATAAATATGAATTCAGGATATAAAACTCAGTGTAAATAGGAACAAAAAGCCAGGGTGTTTCTGAAGGAAAGTAAGCAGATGCAAAGGCTTGTCTTATGTAAATGCCTACCATTTGCCTATTACTTTTGTAGCCTTCTAGGTTTTATTTTATTCAAAAATAAAACGGTTTACTTCTCTATCTACCCCTCTAAAATGTACTCCTGTACTGACTCCCTGAGCGGTATCAGCTGAGTTTCCCAGTCCACAGAGTCCAGCACCCCTATACCTAGACCCAGCCTCAGGGCAGGCTGTCTTATTTTCCTTCCTGGATTATTGCCTCTTCTTTCACAATTAGGCTCCATGCTTTATTATTTCCTCTACTCTACTCTTTATCCACTCACACTGCAGCGATGTTTTTAAATGTGTATGTGACCATAGCTCATCCAGTTCAATAACTTCTGTTGCTTACGGAAAGGTTATTTCTATTATATGGTGGTTTTTTTCCTGAAATTTTCCAATTTATATATTTCCATTGACCTTATTTGTGCCCTCCCCAACATATATATATTTTTGGTTTGCAGTTATTCAACCTTCTCAAAATGTTTTCTCATTTATAGCCTTGTACCTATCAGCTTTGCACTGCTATATTATCTGTGTCAGCTTTTTTAAAAGGATTTTACCTCCCAGATTTGAAGATTCTAGGGCATGCTTTCTGCTGAGGCTCTGTTCATCTTAAAAGTCTTCTCTTTGCTATGTTACATCTTGACAGATGTTAATAACAGGGAATATGTGGGCACAGGTGCTCATGTCACAGGAAACAGAGCTAGCATGAGCTCAGGATTTCGATTACATCCTCTTGGAAGAACTTAAGGGATCAGAGGAGAAATCCCTTAGGACTTTTCCAAAAGCCATACTGCCTACAGATCCCACCTCCCAGTACCACAATCTATGTCCAGGCTTCCAGCAAGGCATCCCTGGGAGGACAGGCAGGTCTGTCTCTAGGAAGTACTTTGTAGACGCTGTTTTGACTGCCTGTGCTTGAGGATTTTCTCATGCTCTTTCCCAGTCCCATCCACGTACCTGATTTCAGTGCTTCCTCCAGATGTCATAGCCTCCTTGATATTCTTTGTGACTGTTTTTACTATAGTGTCTGTCCCAGCAGGATGGATGTACTGTCTTTCTTTTCAAAAAGTGAAATGACTACTTGAAGTAACACTATTCTGTCATTATATCTACTGTAAACTCTACAGTGTGGGACACGTAGACCATGAATATGTACCAAGCAATAAATATATGAACCACCCAGGTTGTTTTCGGTTCTGCTGTTCTGTAGATATTCAGGTTATTCTACTTTCCTAGGCATCTCATTTTTTCCCTCACAAAGGATTGCATAGTACATTGCTTCTGAGTCATTTCTCCTGTATTACAAATGTACTTTTAAACCAGTATCAGATGAAATGTACCAAAGAATTCAAATGTTTTCAGAATGGAAGAGGTTTTGAAACTAAATTCTGATCTACAAGGTAGAATGTTACATGAATCAGTGGATTATTAACATGCTTTTTGTTTTCCCCCTTCTCATTTACATAGCTAAAAGACACAAAATCTGCAGATCAGAAAACAACACTCCTCCATTTCCTGGTAGACGTATGTGAAGAAAAGCATCCGGACATCCTTCACTTTGTGGACGATTTTGCACATTTAGACAAAGCTAGTAGAGGTTTGTGATTTTATTTATAATTATCAATGTCATTGTTCTGCTCTTTAATTCTAAGAGACAAAAGATAATGCTTTTTATTTGTTAACATTATTTTGTTAAAACGATTTCATATGGACTCTTTGAAAAGAAATCATAGGCTATTTTATGAGTTGTTCTCATCAGGAGTATGGATTGATTTGGTTAGACAGTGAGTTTTTATAAGTGCATTGTTGTGTAGATTGACCCCTTTGTGTTCCAGCTAACCCTACCCTCTCCTGCTTAGCTTTCTTCACTGTACTTTGACAGGGCAGAATGATCTCATGTCATTTATAAGTACCAAGTAGCAATCACAAGCAGTGCTGTAGGTCAGAATGAGTATCTTCCTTTTGTCCAAGATTCAAATCTCTGTGGAGGAATGGAGCTTTCTTTTGTGACCCTACTAGATATAAAACCACCAGTTTCAATTTATCTTTCCTTATAAATAAATTAACAACTTGGTTGCAGACCCTACTGTGGTCTTAAAGAAGGCTGTCAAGAGTTCAGATAGAGCCTTTTGCTGACACTTTATTTTAACCTGATTTAAATTTCAAAAATTTGGCCATCTAAAATGTGCAATTTTCAATTATATTCAACATGAATGTTTTTAAATCCAAACAGCTACCTGGTTCCCGATAACCAATGTCTAGACATATTTTAGGTAAGATGTTTTAGGTAGACATGTTTTAGGTAAGTTACAGTTATGTGATAGCTGTATTTTTTTTGCTTTGACCATTAGTGATAATAATATCAAACCATTGTTTTTCATATTGGAATTTGAGAACCTGAAGAAAGATATTTTATTTTTTTGTACATTAGAGGAAGTATTACTTCTGAAACATGTTAGTCCCTGTCTGTTAATAGGTTCTTTTGCTGTAAAGTGGCAGTTTAAGGGGATTATATGCTAAGAGAAATATGATTGGATAAGATGTTCTTCATAATTTTACCCTGAGAAGTAAATTTCTTTGTAGTATGTATCCCATATGGCCTTTGGTAAGCAATTAGTCTGGGTTCCTGATTATAATATTAGGCCTTTTTCTTTTCATTTGTAATGATATTAAATTACTTTTCTTTTCCCTATGCCACTTTAAATGTCCTTGATATAAGAAAATATCCATATAGGTAGGTAGGTAGGCAGAGAGACAGAGACAGACAGATACACAGACAATGCTATATATGTTTATGTGTCTAAATATAATTGAGAACAGATAAGGGATCCTATTATTTTTTCAGGACATTGTAATACAAGCAGGAGACATGAAAATGAGTGACAAAAAAAGTTACCAAAAGCTAAGTAATATATAAAGTGCATTTAAACTACTAAGACAAGGGAAATGTCTTCCTAAGGTGAGATTTTTGAAAAATTGGAATATATAAGTAAATGTCATAGTAGGTAAAATTGAAATTCTGATGTCCTTGATGAATGTTGGATTTAATAATACAGTATTGTATACATGTGGCACAAAAACCCTTGAAATGCTGAAGGGTTCTCTACCTGGGGCAAAGATGACTGTGTAGGAAGCATCAGTGCTTACTTATCCTCTTAGACAATGACTTAAGTTTCTTCCCAGTCCCCATTTCCTTCTGTAGTTGCAGACTTACTTATTCACTCTTCTTTATGCCCAGCATGTCCTCAGAGATTTCAGGATTGTATCCACCTCCTTGTTTCACAATTGTGGTTAAATGCTTCTAAGGGGACCAGGAAGTGCAAATGGGGTCTTCCTCTGCAACCCACCTGTCTTTGAACCACCTTGAAGCAATTTTGCTGCTTTAGCATCCAGAATGCCAGGATTACAAATGTGAACTACCACGCCTGATTTTCTTTTTCTTTTTAAAACTTTTTAGCATGTTTTTCTAGCAATTTTTGGGGTGTAAATTAAATTTTAGAATATTAATTTTGACTCAATAGATTATACTTATAATTCTACATACATATTCTGACAGTGTGTTCTTTTAAAAATTATTTAGCTTGCATAAAGACTTGTAGAGTTATAAGTTAGTAATTTGCTTCTTCTGTTTGTTTTCCTTCTCACTGTTCCAGAGGGCTTTCAGGGCCTTGGGGTGTTTGCTTTCCATCTGTTGCAGGAAAGGCATGTCTGTGTAGGGGTCAGCAGATACTGCTAATACGTTTCAGTGGGAGCAGCAAACTTCATATTTGGAATAATGGTTTTTAATAGTGTAGATGATTGTTAAGCATAATTTCCTTTTCATTATATGATCCAATTAATGAAGGAAATATTAGAGGAGTAAATGTAATGTTTTAGATTAAATAAGCCTGTGTTTGCTTTGGAGAATTCAGTGTTTTTATACATCATCATTGAAAGTTCCCACTTTTGAAACATCCTCAGTGAGCTATCACATGAATTAAAAAGTACCTTTGTTTTTGAGCCATAACAAATCCTGGTCATTAGGTACTCCTAGATCAGCAGGGGGAACTTTCATTGCAACTAATGAGCTTACCCGACTGACAATTTTCAAAAATCTACTTCATTAGGATGCTTCTTTTCTAAGAAATAATGGCTTATGGCATTTCTGTTGTGTTTCACGGAAAATATTTTGGTTCATTATTGTATTTCTGCATAGCGTGGTAATATTTTTGTTTTATGGAATTCTAAGGGTTGAATATTTTTTTCTTGTCTACATAATTAAAATTAATTTAGTCTGTGATGGTTTTGTTTACTAGCTCCTAGAAATCTATAAAATTGGGATAATTATTAATATGTAGGAAATGACAAAAATTGTGTTTCTTTTTTTGGGAGATAAATTAAAAAGAGACCAAGGTGAAGCTGGAAAGATGGCTTAGTGGTTACATCCTGTTCCAGAGGACCCTGGTTTAATTCCAGCATCCACATTGTGCATTCGAACCCTTGTAATTCCAAGTACAATGGATGCCTATACAGGAACATACCCACACTGTCTCACATGATTAATGCACACATGATTAAAAAAATAAAGATAAAAAAAATAGATCTGTGGTTGAGGGTCATTTTAATTGTCTCATCCAGTGTTCCATTTTGCCCCTTGTCAACACTCTTATTTCTACAGTGTCATGCTGGTTAGTCATCCATTCAATAAGGCTGTGCTTAGTGATTACTATATCAGGAATTGTGTGATTTCATTGGTCCAATGTATACTTTCTCCACCTTCTTGCAGTTTAGCCAATCTAACACATCTGACACGTATCCCAACATGTATCCCAACAGTCTTCTCCCTCATATTCAATTGCTTTTTCCCCGTTTTTGTGATCTCTCCATATAAACTGAGCTCTCGTCTCTCTTTTCTCCAGCTTTTCCTAGGTTATCTCTCCCATTTCCAAAGACTTAAAAACCATTTGCAATGACATACAAATTTACTTTGCAGACTTTCATCTCAGCTCCACATTTGTGCCTGCCACAAAGTTTGCTGTTCTACCTCTCCACGAGGTGTGAGGATCATCATTGGTGACAATAACAAACTACAGTTTTATTGTCTCCTCCAAGCTTACTTGCTTGAGAAAACTTCTTATTCACTTTCATCTGACTTCTTTCATCCTGTTCCTGTTTGTGAATTTTCTGTAAGAACTTCAGTAACTCGATGCATGGATTCTATATTGAATCCATTATAGGGGGAAGCTGATGCCTGCACTATTGTCTAGATTTTCCTTCATTAACGACCTTGAAGAAAATGGCATTCTCCCCTTGGTGGTCTTTTTGGACCTTTTTGGAACATCACATAAGTATGTCAGTATTTGACTTTTCCCTTAAGGATAAATTCAGAGATGTCCTTGGAATTCTTTCGTCACTATTTTAAAACTCTTCAGAATCAAGACTGTTCTCCTGAGTTGTTGGGAATGGAATTTGCTCTTAGAAGTCCAATGTAAGATGTGACTTTCTGTAGATTGACAAGTGGGTTCACCAAAGCCCACTTCTCATTTTTTCTATGTGTGTATTCTTACCACTTAAAAGGATTCCTTGATGTGTCATTTTTTATTTCGTTTCATCTTACTTAATATACTACTTTCTGCTTCTCAGTCTCTATCACTATGCTTCTAACTAGTAATTCTTTTATCTGACCCAAATAATTGCCTACTAAATATATCTCCTACTCTCTAGTTCCTCATGAATTTCCAACATTTTTTTGATAAATACCTTACTAAATACCAAATGTTTATCTTTTATTCACCTACTGTGAGCACTTAGAACACTAAATTTCCAGGTGGCTGCCACCTGGAAATTGCATCATGTCTGAAGTTTTCACATTCATCTTCTGTAGCCAGCCTACAGGTTTTTAAAAGACTACCATGGACTCTCAGCTGTTGCCTCCTCAAAATGACAAATGTTATCAGAAGGCAAATAAACTTTTATGATATTTAGTATTAATAATTTGTTCAGTGTCATTTTCTATCCCCCGAGAGCAGAGCTACCAAAATAGCTAATACTGTGTTCATTGAAAATAGTAGCTTTGGAGTTGATTTATAGACTGGAATTTTACTTGAGATAAATAATTAACTTGATGTTTCATATTGTATGGTATTAGAATTTAATGAAACACACTGTGCATTTCTATCTACTTGTATTTACTTGATAAGATACTTTGTTAATTTATCATGTACATATGAAAGAATCACTTAATCATAGAAAGTGATGATAGGAGATATTAGCTTCATGGCATTGTCAGTGAAGAGGCAGGAAACCTTCTTCTGCTTTTAGGGCCTGAATTATGCTCTTCATAAGCTCATAAGTCAACTCTCCTCTACTATTTCTGAACTTGCCTGTGGTTAGGGTTGTGATTTCTCTGCTTAAAATGAGAACGTGGTCCTACTCTGTACCTTTATTTATCCTAACTTCTGTCCCCATAAGAAGAGGGGAAGCTAGGTTATTAGCTTCCGCTCAGTGATGTGCACAGGTAGACAATATGATGACATCCTAATAAGATGGTCCTCTGCAAGCTGAGGTGAGAGGCTTCAGAGATAGCAAGTCTGCCATCACCAGAGCTGTGAGACAGCA